TCTAGTTTTCATAATCTGCTCCCCGATTGTGGAACAGTCTCCCTAACACACTTAAGGACTGTAAATCAGTAGATAGTTTCAAGGCCAGCCTGAAAACTTATCTAATGGCCAACTTTGACTAATATCATCTTCCTTTTTTTTTTTTTTTTTTTTTTTTTTTTTTATAATCATGTGTAATGTAATGTAAACAAAATTATTTCTAAGTATATCATTGTAAGCGCCTTGAGCACCCTCTGGGTGGATATGTTGCGCGTAAAGAATGTCTGAATTATTGTTATTATTATTATATTAAGATACAAAATTATGCACATTTATATAAATCTTTTCAAAAGATTGTTTGTACTGTACATACTTGTACATAATCTGAATTGAAAAAGAAATGGAAAGTTTTTCTTCTCTTCTTCATTCTCTAAGCCTTTTCTTTACAAATCCATCTCCATACTCCCATCCCTCTCACCCTCTCTCTCTCTGTCTCTCCTTTTCTCTCTTGATCTCAACTCCCTTTCTCTCTCTCTCTCTCTCTTTCTCTCCCTTTCTCTCTTTCTCTCTCTTTCTCTCCCTTTCTCTCTCTCTCTCTCTCTCCCTTTTTTTCCCTCTCTCTCTCTCTCCCATTCTCTCTCTCTCTCTATCCCTTTCTCTCTCTCTCCCCCTTTCTTTCTCTCTCTCTCTCTCTCCCTCTTTCTCTCTCTCTGATCCCCCCCCCCCCTCTCTCTCTCTCTCCATGTTGGATGTCGTGGGGGCGGAAGGGGAGGAAGATGAGTCACGCTCAAGTCATTCTAGAGCCACAGCCAAAAACCTGCCTGCCTCCTCTCATAATTAACAGCCCATCAACAACATCAACAATGGCTTTAAATGATGGATTCCTTACAGAGTCGACTTGTAATGCACTTTAGAAAAACTACAATACCAATAAAGTTTTCATATTCTTAAAGGCATCGTTTAACAATGTGAACTCTAAGGAGCACGGCCCTACATGTTTTCAGGGTTTATGATATAGTGTAATATTGAAGCCCTAAAAAAAAATTGCGCTTCAAAATGATCAAGAAGTGCCGCGAGAAAGTAAAAATCTTTGATCTCTTTCCATTTCCAATCATTAATATCTTGATAATCAGAATCAGTAAAAGTCATGGGGTTCCTGACTGACCTAAAGTTTTATAATTATCATTGCAGCATGAGCTAAATCCCGGATTTTGTTTCAGAATCTGAGACAAAGTTACCGGATCCCTTTAAAGGAGTGGTATTTCATTGGAATTAGATACATGTATATTCATGATAACTATGGTAGATAACACAGCCACTCATAAATGCACATGAACCCGTAAACAGTAGCTACATGTATAAGCAATGAATTCATTTTTACAAAAATTAACTATGTCGTAGAGAAGAATAAACCTTATGGAGTAAAATCAACATCTAAAACCCACAAAAATTGTATGGTACATGTACATGTAAATACTAAAAGGTTTTTTTTTAAGGTTTCTTTTTGATATAACCCTCCCCCTCCAAATAAAGCTAAGAAGAAGTAAATTTGATGTTACATACATCTGCTTTGCACACAAAAAGTGGAAATAATGCAGTAAAATAAACAATTCTATGAATTATTTGTGAGTGTGGACAAGTGTTCAACAGGAAATCAAACTATCAACTAGCCTTCTAGCTGAGGAAAAAATTGTCATTAACAAAGTCCAAGATGAGCATTTAATATACCTGCTTTGCAAATCGGAATGTGGAAATCATGCAGTAAAGTTGAGAATTTTATGAAATATTTGTGAGTGTGGACAAGTGTTCAACAGGAAATCGAACTATCAACTAGCCTTCTAGCTGAGGAAAGAAATAATCATTTATGAAGTCCAAGACAAGCCCTTATTCCCTTCCACTCCTAAAAACGTAGTGATATTGGATGATGCAGAAAGCAAGTTTCTTATGGAGGTATGATTATTGCTCATGGAACTCGTAATGCAGGCACTCAAATCGACCTTTTAATATTACTGTGGAAGTATAAAAATATCACGTACATCCTATTGGAGCTCGTCAAATGATTTCCTCCTTCTTCACGACCCTCTTCAGACTGAAAGTTTAGCCACCCCTTTTTAACTCATTGACTTCTGAATATAATCTCATTCCAAATTGTTTAAATATAGAAGCATCCAATTCCTAAATGCAATCAGTTAAGCATGCTATATATGAAACTGATCTCCAATTCATTTTATTTCTTTTGTAAAGTTCTGATTTAGATAAAAAGGTTGTATTGAATGTGCCATCACAGATTTTGACGACCTGGTAAACATGAAGATAGGTACATTTATGCCTTTGAAGATGACAGATTAATTGCTGTATGATAGTACATACCTTTTACGAGTTTAATCAGACACAGAACTTAAAACTCTACACTTTAAAGTAGATCTATTACCAAAAGCAATAAATGATAATTTACTACTGCTTTGTGGAATAGACTATGGACATGATTATTTACACAATTAACAAACAAATCGAAAGAATCTCTGACAAGAAAAATAGAGAGAAATAATAATAATCTTTAAACAGGTATGACAATTTAAAGGTAACTTTTGGAGTGTAAAATCAGTGTTAGGAAGGAGTAATTGGTCTCAAATGCACTTTAGTAAAACTACAATACCAATAAAGTTTTCATATTCTTAAAGGCATCGTTTAACAATGTGAACTCTAAGGAGCACGGCCCTACATGTTTTCAGGGTTTATGATATAGTGTAATATTGAAGCCCTAAAAAAAAAAAATTGCGCTTCAAAATGATCAAGAAGTGCCGCAAAAAAGTAAAAATCTTTGATCTCTTTCCATTTCCAATCATTAATATCTTGATAATCAGAATCAGTAAAAGTCATGGGGTTCCTGACTGACCTAAAGGTTTATAATCATCATTGCAGCACTAGCTAAATCCAGGATTTTGTTTCAGAATCGGCTGAGACAAAGTTACCGGATCCTAATAAAGGAGTGGCATTTCATTGGAATTAGATACATGTATATTCATGATAACTATGGTAGATAACACAGCCACTCATAAATGCACATGAACCCGTAAACAGTAGCTACATGTATAAGCAATGAATTCATTTTTACAAAAATTAACTATGTCGTAGAGAAGAATAAACCTTATGGAGTAAAATCAACATCTAAAACCCACAAAAATTGTATGGTACATGTAAATACTAAAAGGTTTTTGTTAAGGTTTCTTTTTAATATAACCCTCCCCCTCCAAATAAAGCTAAGAAAAAGTAAATTTGATGTTACATACATCTGCTTTGTACACAAAAAGTGGAAATAATGCAGTAAAATAAACAATTCTATGAATTATTTGTGAGTGTGGACAAGTGTTCAACATGAAATCAAACTATCAACTAGCCTTCTAGCTGAGGAAAAAATTGTCATTAACAAAGTCCAAGATGAGCATTTAATATACCTGCTTTGCAAATCGGAATGTGGAAATCATGCAGTAAAGTTGAGAATTTTATGAAATATTTGTGAGTGTGGACAAGTGGTCAACAGGAAATCAAACTATCAACTAGCCTTCTAGCTGAGGAAAGAAATAATCATTTATGAAGTCCAACCCCCTGTCCACACACAACATTTTCCGTGATTAGCTATACCGTTTCGCGATAGTGATACCGTTTCGCGATAGTTTTACGATAAAAATTGTGTGTGTGGACGCTCACTAACGATACGTCGTATAACGAAACTAGTCTAACGAAACGCAGGTTTGGGCATCGTTTCGAACTGAAACTCAATAAAGAATCATGCCTAATCACGGAAAATGTTGTGTGTGGACAGGGGAGTGTAACTAGTGTAACTAACTGGGCGGGGCTTAACGTGACCTCGAGCGAAAGGAGACCAGACCTCTCATTTTCTCTTCCATTTCATGACCTTAGCAAACTGCACAACTATACGACATTTCGCTGTAGAGTTTCAGAATTACTTTCTTCTGTGTGTGGACATCCTGGAATTTATACGATGATTATTTATACGACGTTTCTTGTGTGTGGACACTCTGAAATTTATACGATGATTCTTTATACGACGTTTCGTTATAGAGTTTCGGGATAAATTGTTTTGTGTGTGGACACGCTGCAAGACGAGCCCAATTCCCTTCCACTCCTAAAAATTTAGTGATATTGGATGATGCAGAAAGCAAGTTTCTTATGGAGGTGTGATTTGTGCTCATGGAACTCATAATGCATATATTCAAATCGACCTTTTTATATTACTGTGGAAGTATAAAAATATTACGTACATCCTATTGGAGCTCGTCAAATGATTTCCTCCTTCTTCACGACCCTCTTCAGACTGAAAATTAAGCCACCCCTTTTTAACTCATTGACTTCTGAATATAATCTCATTCCAAATGGTTTAAATATAGAAGCATCCTATTCCTAAATGCACTCAGTTAAACATGCTATTTATGACACTGATCTCCATTTCATTTTATTTTGTTTGTAAAGTTCTGATTTGGATAAAAAGGTTGTACTGAATGTGCCATCACAGATTTTGACGACATGGTAAACATGAAGATAGGTACATTTATGACTTTGAAGATCCAGATTAATTGCTGTATGATAGTACATACCTTTTTACGAATTTACTCAGACACAGAACTTAAAACTCTATATTTTAATGTAGATCTATCACCAAAAGCCATGCATTATAACTCACTACTGCTTTGTGGAATAGAATATGGACATCATTAATACACAATAACAAAATCTAAAAAATCTAAAAAAATCTCTGACAAAAAAAAAAAAAGAGAGAAATAATAATAATATTTACTACAATTTAAAGTTTACTTTACGACCGACGAAAAAAACGAATTGCGTTTTAAACTAAACGTCTTTGAAAACCGTGATTCTAGGGTGAAAAAGTGTTGATTAAATGCACCCTTAGAGACACTGAGTATTTCTTATTAAAGCGCTATATAAATCCAGACTATTGATATCATGCCTCAAACAGCCACGATTAGATATTAAATACTCACTCTTTTTCCTTCTTCCGCCTTCCCTCTCATCATAGTTCAAGGATTTTGAGTTCCATTTTTTGCCGAACGACCTGAAATTCCTCTTACACCTCAGAGTCAAAGAAGACGACATCATCAAACATTAAAATATTCAATATTCAGTAACGGAAATATCACAGACTGGGATGACAACAGTTCTTGAAATCAAATGGACATGGAGTCAAGTTGGCTCAAATCATCCACGACACTATATGGCAGCAAAGAGAAGTTGGTTAAATACAGATGTACCAGAATGTTCAACACTAATAATTGGGACGACAAAGATTCGTTAACTATTGCCTCGGAGTTCGGGATGGTTCAAACCAATTACTCCACTATGACAGCAACAAAAAAGTTCGCTATTAAAATGGAGACGTCCAAGAAAATGATGAAGCACATCACATGGACTGGGATCGCAAGCAATTCTTGAAATCAAGTCGACAGTGTATTGACAGCTAGCAAAGCAACTGAAGTTCTGAACACAATGCCACACTATTTCCTTGTGTCAGATAGCCACTGTATGACTAGGTGTTGAATACAGCTGAACAATTGTTTTATCAGGAAGACAAAAGGAAGATACTTGCGATATCCTTTCACTCCAGCAACATCCGAAGAATGATATGCTACCTCATGGTTTGGAAAAATAACAATGCCTTCCTGCTGCCCTGATACGATCATTAGCAAAACAGTTTTGGGTGCCAATTAAAGCTCAACTAGTTTTGTGGGAACATGAGGACCAATAACATGCCTAGAATATCCGCAAGTAAATCACTCGAAGTCGGTCTTGAAGATCCCCTTGATATTGAAACAATATTGAAGACGATTGCCAGTATCAAAATAGCAATGTTTCGATCACATGAAATTGAAGTTGTGTTTCGCAAGATGCTTTGAAGTCCAGAAACCATGATGCATATTGAGAAGATCTTCTAAACTTGGCGGTTACGTTTAAAGTGCTGTGGGAAAAAAAAACTTCAAGATGTTGAGGACTCGTTCAGCGTTAAGCAGCCCTGCTGACCTTCCCTTGCTATTTGGTCTCCAAAAATAAATGTGCAGCCTTCCAAAAACAACTTAGTTAGCAATCAGTGAATATGATTGATCCATTTTTTTCACTTCTACTCGATGGAGAGAGTTAACGTGCCACCCAGCTGAGGGCTTAAACAAGACACCATAGGGGAGAGAGAGCGCAGGCCGTGAATGTCGGGTGTGTGCGTTACCCAAAATAACTCGCCTTCTAATTCAGACAGCCGACACGAGACAATTCATGATCATGAGAATTAAGTAGTCACCAGAATTAATTAACATACGTGTTTAAAGCAGTGTTCAGAGGCGAATGCTTCCTCATGGAGAGGGGGGGGGGGGGGGGATATATTGTAAGGATGGGCAGAGGGTTTAATTATAGGGGAAGGGGAACGAAGAATGAGAGAGAGAATTAACGGGTACCTTTGGGTCATGCAGACAGAAATAAGTGTTATGTAAGAGGGGTACGTGTCACAGTGCAATTAAAACATCCCCTGAAGACCTTCCTATACATTAAAATGGCCTTCATGTTTTCACAGCGAATCTTCTTTGGATGCAATTATTATGAGCTGCAACCTCTGGGGGTCAATCTGATGGGTGTAAAAGGGTCATTAATTAGTCATAAACATGTGATTGCACGTAAGGAGTCTGTGTCCCCCTCCTCCCCCCCCCCCCCCCACAAGAGCTGAATAAATGATCACAAGAGAAATGCCAATTTGATGAAATCCCACAGACTTGTTCTTCTATGATATGCCGGCATTGAGTCCATTCACACAAAAAGGATGTTTGTGAGATCTTAACCCGTTGATCCTGAATTATCTAATTACCATAAACCTAACACAAGGACCAGTTGGCTCCTGTATAGAAAGGGTTAAAAAAAGTCTTTTGACTGTTATCACAATATCACCGGGAAAAAATTAGAACAAACACAAAACAAAAAACAAAAACTAAGACTCAACATATAGTTCACAAAATTATTTGGGATCGCTGCTAAATCTGTCAAGAGCTTGATCTAATTTCCATTCTTTTCACGACGACTGCAATGTAAACTATCTAGCAGCCAATCAAGAGGGGCACGCCCAGAATTACTTACTTACGGAAGAAAAGAAAACTCTAGACAGGAGATTATCTTTCACAACTTCGTGTTCGAGCTGTCATGTGACTGCCAAAACACAAGGTAATTATAGCTCGTACCCTCGACTCAATCGTAATGAGTCTCTTATCGTACTGTACTGTGGCAATCTTCTAGAAGGCAGAAGTTAATTTCTCATAGGCCATGCAGTATCATGTGTTGAAGGCCTGAAAGTCTTGAAAGGTCGATCTGTAAATGTTAATCCATTTGATTTTTAAACCAAGTTGCATTGAAGAATAGTTGAAAACTGAGAATAGATCGGTGACAATTTTAATGATATTGGATAAACATAAATGTAACAGATTTTTGGAAGGTTAGTTTAAAGATAAAGGCCAGTTACGGTCATGCGATTGCATTGTGAAAGAAACATTGTGGAACCGATCAGAAAAGGTTGATCATCTAGCATACATGTATAAGTATTCGTGTGTATACTACAAGGTTCTGGAATCATCAAAATGATAAGAAATTTGGCCCAGTCTTGGTAAAGTTACAAGCACTGTACACAGAAAGATGTATATGGAACTACGCACACATGCGCGACACATGCGTTATATCTATCAGGTCCAAATAGATATAATAATTTACCAAATATATCAATTAGTAGGCGGTTTCTCTGCAAAATTTGTATGATCACGTATTAGTCAAAGCATATTCTTTCACATGATTAATAATAAGAGCTTCCATTTCATTTTTTTGAGGGGGGGGGGGGGCGTTTCCAAAACTGGTATTCACCTTTAAATGGGCTTGCACTTGATTTATTGATTTTCTTATCATTATCCATTAACAAAACTTTCAGCAATATCTTTATCTCATTTTTTACAAATTCTTGCCTTACTTATAAACTTGATAGGTGATTCCCCCCCACCCCCCCACCCCCCCCCCCCCCCCCCCCCCCCGGACACAAAAATTGTATTTTGTCTTTCACAAAATTATAGAAAGCAAAAGCAACAGTAAATGTATAGTCATTTTCTTTTCCATTTGTTTTTTAAGAATCGTGTTCCCTTTAACTACATCCTTGATAAACCCCCATAAATATCGCTTGTCACCATATATTCCATTAAAAATTCATAGGACTCACATTAGGCCTGTCTCCATCAGCTCAAATTTCCCGCTATTTTAACCGTTCCAATCGCAAATTATCCGGTAAATGTGCGTCTTCATCAGCCCAAAGTTTTAATTAGCAGGAGATATGATCAAGATATCTTGGGCTAGTTTGCAAAATATCCTACTAATTGTCCGGTGCGTATTCACCAGCACGAAGACTCGCACTATGCGCGAACGCTGAACAAAATATCTCAAGCTAACTTCTCGAGCTTGAGTTTAAAGTTTCGAGCTTGAGTCTCGAGCTGATAAAGTTACGATTTGTAACTTTGGGATTATTTCCAAAATCAGAAATAATAATAATAATAATAATAGTGGGTTCTTGTATAGCGGGCTATTTGGCAATCTTGAGCTGATGACGACATACCTATTTATAATACTGACCTGAAGAGGCATTATTTCCACTTTGTGAGGTGTCATCACATCCAGACAGCAAGGATCTGCTTTGAAAAATTTCTCCACTCATCACAAACATCTCTTCAAGAATGATATCTTATCCACTCCGACCAAGCCGCAATCATGAAATTTCTCGTCAGTCGCACAAGCGCTGTGAACTAATGGCATCCACGTACTGGTACATTCATCAGCCATTTGTCAATATTTCCATCATCTGGAGAGAATTTCATCGTAAATGAATTAAAAAATCACTCATAATTTATTGTCTCCTTTTTTTAATGGCCCCACTGACCAGTCATCATCATCATCTTCATATGAGGAGAGGTCAAGTCTGTAATCCTTGGTCACTAATTCTTCAGAGTTGGCTCTATAGGTTTTCTTCAGTCTCCGGTCAATGGGAAATCAGTGTCTTGATTTCGCACATGCGCAGACTGGAGACGATTTTGGTATGTCATGTTACATTAAAATCATTCAGATCACCTGCGTTTAACCAATCTTGCGTGAATGTACTGACAGAGTTTGAGCCATTACTTCTTGAGGGAGATTGTTCCAGGCGGACACCACTCTGTTGCTGAAAGAGCATCGACTTGTGTTTAAACAAGACCTTTCTTTAAGAAAGCATACTCCTTCTATCCTTCTTGCAATTGCCACAAAGAAAATCCAAAATTTCAGTCACTACCTTGAACTGAATGGTCCACATTGCATAAATTACAAAAGACTACAATATCTGGGCATTATAATGAATGATAGAGTTGGCTTTTGTAGTTATGGGAGATATATTATCACTGCAATCATTACAATCAAGTCTTATTACCATTTGCAGAATTTACAGATTCCTTCCGAAGCAGGCAGATCTTTAATAGCAGTATGATAAACGGCAAAGTTGGCCTTTGAAGTTACAGCAGAAACAGCACCAGACAAAAATGAACTCCTTCTGTGTCAATTAATACATCAGTCAGTGTCTATATAACTGTCAATCTACAAAATAGACCATGTATCCCTCTGACTGAAGATCTGACAGAATAATGAAGGCAAAATTGGATCCTTTCGCATTAACTGAAGAAACAGCAACTGACCTCCTCTTGCAATTTAATGGCCACCAAAAAGTGCCAATATATTTGTCACTGACTCTCAGACAACCTGCAGAATGTATAGATTCCTTCTTGAGTAGATCTTAGCAGTAGAATAAAATAATTACAAAGTTGGCTTCTTCTGTAGTGCATGACCAAAGAACAATCACTGCAGCAATTATTCTTCTCTTACAGTTTATCTTTAAAAATTTGCCAATGTTTTAGTCACTGCCTTGCTATTCTGAATAGGTCAACACTGCCGAACTTACGGATTCCACAATGGTGAAAAAAACTTGGCAGCATGACAACGTTGACTTCCTTTTGCATTGACTGAAAACAAAATTCACTTGAGAAATTAACCCTTTCCTAAAATTTGCCACGATTGTGATACTGCTTTTTAATCACTGTAGACACTGACAGTACAGTATATAAACACAATCCTTCTAGAGTAGATTTAGCAAGATGACAAAGTTGGCTTCTTTTAGTAGTTTTCAAAGAAACATCTTCACAATTAATAACATCCTCACAATAAATGACCCCTCCTCGAACAGTGTAGCTCACTTTCAGTTACTGCATCACTGATTAATCCAAACTGACTTTAAACATTATTTCAGCGGTAGCATAGCGCTGCAATAAACGATAACATCGGCCCCTTTCGTATCGACCAAAAAGACATCACCGCAACAATGACCCCTTCCTTGCATGGCACCATGAAAGATAACGTCTCCTTCAGTCAAACCTTTATAATCCAAAAGCATCTAATGAATAACCTACATCCCTTTAGAATCTTATATTACGGACAAAATCATCTAGGAGAAAAAAAAGAAGAAGAGAGAGAAGAATCGCTGCATGGCTCCAGTGACCAAACACAGATGCTAGAATTTCGAATAGGGAGAAGGAGATGAAGGAATGGGTGACCAAAGAAACATCACGGCGACAATGACCCTCTTTGAATGGGGTCATGAAAGATGATGTCTCATACAGCAATCCTTGATCCAAAAGCTTTGGAAGAATAACCTGCATGTACACCCCTTTAGAATCAGATATTTCTGAAAAAGACGAAGAGAGGGTAGAATCGCTGGCTCCAGTGACCAAACACAGATGCAAGACCTTCGAAAAGGGAGAAGGAGAAGGAAAGGTTGATCCGCGATTACTTTGGCGTACGTGATGAGATCAGCCACGGCCCTTGAGAAGAAGAGTGTTTCACTTGGACATCCTGTTGCCATGCACGGAGGGGTAAGGATGGTGGGCAAAGATTGGCGAGGCTACGATTTTCAGACGCAGGAAAGAGCGTCTTAGCTAGTCCGTGCCGCTCGCTTGATCGGTGCCATGGGCTAAAAATGTCAAGCAATGCGACATGAATGACGCATCCAATGTAAGGTTAAATGGGTGCGAAATGTGACAGAGCAGACATTTTGAAAACTCTTTCTGTCTCTCAGTTTATCCTCTCTTTCTTTCTCTCTCTTTTTCTCTCTCTTTCTATTTCTCTCCCTTTCTCCCTCTCTCCCTCTTTCTCCCACTTTCTCTCTCTCCCTTTCTCCTACTCTCTTTCTCCCTCTCTCTTTCTCCCTCTCTCTTTCTCCCTCTCTCTTTCTCCCTCTCTCTCTC